TACTTCCTGGCCTTCTTTTGTTTTTGCAAATTTAATTAATCTTTGCAGCTCTACAATGTTCTTTTCTTGATGTTACTTTTTTTGATTATTTCTTTTATTTGTTATTGTATTATATATCTTTTTCTTGGGCAGGTGCTTGCTTGCTGCTGTAATGATTGCTTCTTCTAATACATCTTATATATTATTTATACTATTTATTCTTTCTCTTTTATCTTGTTTTTTTTCTTTAGATGTTCTTTAGCACCTCTTTTACTTCTAATCATTTCTGCAGTTCTGTGTATACTTTCTCAGTTCTCTTTTTTTGCTTGATTATATAGATATATTGTTTTTGATTGATTTTTCCTTTTAACTTTGGCTTTGCTATTTTTTGTCATCATATGTTTAATTCATATTTCTGTTTTTGCTATCTTATGATCACTTTTTGTGATCCTTTCTGCATTTTCAATTTCTGCCTTCTGTATACCTAAGACTAACTCTTCTGATACCCATATATAGTCAATTCTTGTTGCTGCTTTTCTATTTGACCATATGAACTCTTGGCTTGTTGGATGCATATTTCTGTACATATCACTAAAGTTTTGTTTCTTCATTCAATTAAAGATTGGCAGCCTTTTAAAATTTGTTGCTTGTGAATGTTGTCTGTTTAAAATATTATTTGCTGTGTGATTAAAGTTATCCAAAATAACTATTTGTGTTTGTCTCTTCTTTTTAATGACTATTTCTACTATTTTTTGTTAAATGCTTCTCTCTATTGTCTTGTCACCTAATAGTATATAAACTCCTATAACTACTAACTCCAATTGCTTAAAGTATAGTATAAGCTCTATCATATATTCATTTATTTTTTTGACTGCACTTACATGTTTCTTCTATTGCTCATTGACTATAATGCCTATACCAGATCCCTTCTTTTTGTTTTTTTGCTACACTTGACCAAAATCCTGCATATTTTCTATTTGTGGTCTGTGTCAAGAATTTTCTTTCTTTTTCTGTAAGATTCGTTTTTGTGATCCCTAATATCATGATTTTTTCTTCTTCTGTTCAGCCTAGCAGATTATCAAGTTTTTATTTTTTGGTTTTGAGTTTATTAACATTATAACATGCTATTTTAATTTCCTTTTTACCTTCTTTTTATTTTTCTTTTAGTTTATTCTGTTCTGTTTCTGCTCATTCTTTTCCTTTCTTGCTTTTTTCTCCTTTCTAAACAAGAAGGTACTGTTTTTTTTTTTCAAATATTTATTTTTTCTTTTTTGCAGAAATTCTTCAAGCTTCTTGTTTATTTCTATTGATTCAACTATGCCAATCTTAGAAGTAGTTGGCAGGTTCCTTTTCTGCCAACTCTCTTGTCTCTTCTAGTTTTTCCAATCTTTTCTAGATTCAATCTAACATTTCTTCTACATATGTGTTTTCTTTTTGCTTATATTTTGTTTGGTCTTCTGATTTTTGATTATAGGCACCTTTTTTTTTCTGTTTTCCAATTCATAGTTTTGATATTTTTTCTTCTTTTTGCCTTGTTTAAGTATATTTTATTTTTCTGTTCTTTTTTTCTGCTTTTGCTATCTTCTATGTCTGATGTTTGGCTGAATCTATCTCAACTTCTTTCTTTTTCTTTTACTATGCTTTCTCTTCTCTTTATTTCTTTTTTTCCTCTGTTTTTTTCAATATAGTCTGAAGTTATTAAACATAATTGGTTTTGATTAGGCCATCTTCATATCTTTCTTAGTTACAAACATAACTATAACTATTCTTTTCTGATTTTTATTCCTGTTTAGTGGTATATAAACTGACTTTACTCCTTTACTTCTTAAACATCGAAGAAGTAAAACTTCTGAGGCATTTCTAGGTAGTTCTGTTAACTTTGCTGTATATTTTCTCTGAGCTTCTCTTGCTTTATGGTCTTCTTTTTTTACTATTACTTGTATCAGTTATACATGTGACTAGTTATATTTTCATTGATATATCATGTAATTATACATTATTAATAATAAAAAGATACATAAACAAGATCATCTTTAAAACTAAAAAAAAAAATATATATTTTTAATATAATATAAATAATTTAAATAAGCTAAATAATTTTAATAAATTTATTTTTTGTAATTTATTAATAAAAAATCTTTTAATTTGTTATTTATTATAATATTTTAAAATTTAAAGTAAATTTGCTAATAATTGAATACAAATTAATAAAATTATATTTATTTTATTTTATATATTTTATTTTATTTTATTTTATTTTTTTTTATTATAAGCAGTCATGCTAGTACTTTATTAGGTTTTTGGAATTACATTTGCAACTACATAAATATCTCTAATATCTAAGTCTAGCATCACCCAGCCATCTTAATGGTACCTAAGTGCAACCTATCACATCACTTCAAACAGAAGTAAGCTGCTCACCTGACTACTTAAAGTCCATAATGAAAGGGTCTTCTCCCTTTCATAACAAGTCCCAAAATTGTCTTTATTACTTCCTTCCCAACTTGCTTTTCTTTTTCTCTTATTTCTTTTTTTTTCTTTTCTCTTTTTTTTTCTGATTTGCCATTTCTTATTTTCTTGATTCCTTCAGCTTTCCACCTTTTTTTCTTTTAATTTTACCTGTTATTTCAATCTTTTTCTCCCATTCAATAATTTTTTTGCAATGTATTCTTCATACTTGTTCATAGAATGGGTCCCAGGCTGTTATTGCTACTGTACTTGCAAACTGCTATCTTGATCTCATGTTTAATAGTTCTGCTAGTTTGTCTTGTGTTCTTTTTAGGATTAGGCCTTTTATTAGTGCTTCTCTTATTTTAACTTCCTCTGCCTCTGTTTTTCCAAAGAGTGCTATATGTAACACATGTAGGAAAATCCAAATCTTTTCTTTTTCTTTTAACTTTTTCTATGCTGTTGTGATGGTTACTTTTTGGATTCTCTTCCAGAGATTTCTTTGCCCTATATTTTAATTTATATTGAGTTTAAAATTTTATATTTATATATATATTAATATAATTTAATAAAAATAAATACTATATATTATATATTTATAAATGTATAGTACTTTTTTATACAGTATTAATAAATTTTATATTAATAATAAAAAAAACATTAAATTAATTTTTATATAATTGTACAAAAAATATTTGTTAATTTTTTTAAATATTATAAATTAAATATCTTAATTTATACTTCTTTTTTAGGTTTTAAAATTTGAGGCATTGAACAATAATCATCTTGTTTTAATAAATTTTGTATATGTTTTCTTACTTCTTTATAAAGATACCATTGTTATATATCAGATAATTCTAGTGATTTTTTAATATAAAAAAAATAAATCTTTAGTTGATAATAATTGATTATGTTAAATAAATTTAATTTTTTGCTTAGCTTTATCAATTAATGATTTAATAATAATATATCTAATATTATCTTGACTAAAATAAAAGTAATGCTATTTTAAAATTTAAAGAACTGTATCAAAATAATTATTTAAAAATTCTGCCTAATTAAAAAAGTTACTTTGCATTGATTATTTTTTATAACTAAATAAAATATGTTATAATTATTTGTTGTAGAAATTTTAACAACTTGTGCTAAATCATCTAAATTATTAACTTCAAAATTTCATAATTTTAATTTTAATAATTCAAAAAATCTATTTGAAAAGAATTTTGTATGTCTAGCAACTATAAAGAAATAAGTAATAGTTAAATATAATTTTATTATTATTCTTTATGCTAAATATTTAATTATTACATTATTTTTAATTTGTTTTGTACAATTATCAGCATATATAATTATATGTTTTTTTCTAAGTCTATAATTTTCAAAATAATTATGAACTAATAAAATTACAGTATCTGCTTCTTTTTTAACTATTTCTTTTTCTTTAATTAAATAATTAATCTTAAATATTAAATATATTAATTAATTAAAAATTAAGGGGTGTGGCAACCTAGTAAAGTAATCAGGTTGTTAACCTTCCAAGTGGTAGGTTAGGTGTTCAAATCCTATCAATGGTAAAAATTTGGATAATCACCTATGTAATATTTGTATTATAGCAACTGTTACTAACGATTAGGTTAGGATACCTGTAATGGTGGTCACACCAGCATGACTGGCAGGTCATGGGGCATCTGTGCAATGTTGGAGTTATACAGAGGAATGCAAACCAACATATCGGGAGTGCAAACACTAGATAAGTCTTTGTGGCCATGTAAATTCATTAAAATTGGATAACAAAAAGTCTATTTGAAAAGACCTAAGTAGAAAGGTAGCTGGATCTTTGATAGCCCTACTGTAAAGACTAGCTTGGCAAAACGGATATCAAGGTCTAGTACCCAGTTCTAGTAGCCAGACAGGCAAGAATTTTCAGGTTAGGAGTCTCAAAGGTACTACCAACTAGGCCACTAGAATGAACTGAAGAAAAAGGATATCAGGCCAACCTGATATACTGATAGACTGATTGTAGTCCTACATGGGGCTATCTGGATTAGAAGTTTGGTAAAAGGGCAGGAGAAAAGGCAGAGGTATACTAAAGTACTAGGGTTATGCTGCAAAGTAGATGCTACGATCTAAGTGAACTCTACAAGAACATAGCAGTTTAATGATTAGCCCTAACTGCAAGTGTTGGTTCTGCCATAGTAACATCTAGGTCAGCTGTAAAAATGAGTACAGAAGGCTCTAGGAGATTTACCTCGAGAATAAATTAGTTCTAAGATTGAGGATAATGATCTGGGCATCTAAGATAACTAGTAATGTTAATACAGGTTACAGGTTCAGAAGGGTTAAAGTAGAACACCCAAGCAGGGGTGTTAGATATGGCAATTGGTGAGGAACCTTTAGACAGACTTCTTAAATAGGTAATATAGAAAAGTTACATATGTAGCCAATTGTATGCTCTTCCGTAGTAGTTCATTGAACCATAATACCAATAAGTGATTAATAAAAGTCAAAAGACCAAAGAAGTTAGCTTAATACCAAAAAAAAAAAATATTAAATTTTACTATAATATTTTTATTTTAAATAATTACCTGATGAGAAAAAGCATCTTTACATATTCTAAATACTGCAACTTTATAAAGTGATTTAAAATATATAGCATCCTTTAAAAATATAAAATATTATTAAATTATAATAAATATAAATTATTAATATTGTATTAAAAATTACTTCTTGTTGTGAAGAATAAGGTAATTAAATATTTTCTACAAAGTTCTAAGAAATATGATTTGTAATATCAATACTATTGAAAATTCTAGAATGTAAAAATAAAAAAATATTAGATATATTAAGTTTAGTATTTAAAATATATTTTCTATTAAATTAAAATTAAAATTATTAATATTAATTAAAATATAAAATTTAATTAAAAATAAAATTAAAAAATTTACCTATAATATTCTTTTTCTAAATTTGCTTAATCATTATAAATTTTCTATTTATTTATTGTTTGTTCTAATTTAAATTTGGGAATATAACTAATATTAAATCGCATTGTTTTATATTTCATATATAAATCACTTTTAGGAGAAAGAAATTTAATTTCAGAAAGATATAATTTCCAAATATTAATAAAACTAGTTAAGCTAATTATATAATTAGAATTTTTAATAATTAAAGACTTATATAAATGAAATAAACTTAAATAGCTTTTAGTTGCTAGAAGAAAAATTATAATTTTTGTTTCTTTTTCAAAATGTTAACCTAAAATAATAAAATTAAAATTAATATTAATTTAATAAATAATTATAAAATTTATATTTTATATCAGAAAAAGGAAATTTATAAATATTAGCATAATTTGAAATAAATATTAAAATATATAAAATATTTTCAAAAGAAATTTTGTTATTACTATTTTAATTTTTAAGTTTATAAGTTATTGGCAAAATATCATGTTTAAGAAAATGTTTCTGAATTAATTCTCATTTCCAATTAGTTATATCATATATTAATAAAAAAGCTTTTAAATAAATTTTATTATTATCAAATCTATATTTATTAGTTAAATATTTTTTATCTTTTTCATGTTCTGTAATACTTTTTTTTTTAGTTAAAGCATTAAGTATAGCTAATAATAACATATTTTTTTCAGTTTTTGATAAAAGTTGAATATTTTCTTATTTTTTTATAGCTACTTTATAATTAATTTTTTAGTACAATTCCAAGTTAAGCAGCAATTAAAAATATCAAACTTAAGACAAAATGCTTCAATATCTTGTTGTATAAGTATTTTGTTATTTTTAAAATTATTATCAATTAATTTAGTTTTATCTTTTTGATTATATTTTTTATAAAAATTAATAATTTGAGTTTTAGAAAAAATATCACTTTTAAAATTATGTAACTGTTCATCTGCTAAAATATTAATTTTTTTTCTTTTTCTATTAAATTAATTGTATCTTCTTCAATATCTCCTGAATATGTAGACTAATAGATATTTTATAATACTAAAATACTAGTATTTAATGAATCTAATTCTGGATGAGTTTCAGTAAAAACACTATTAAAAAAAAACAAGTCATATTGAAATTTGAAATTACTATATACAATTATACCTTAGTTTTATACAATTTTTAGAAATGCAAATATTATAAAATTAACTATATAAAATTTTAATATAATATACTTTATTAATAAAAAAACAATACAAAATATATAAATTAAAAAACCTATTATTATATATAAATAATTTTGATAAATATACTAAAGCAGTTAAAAACAGTTGTTATCTTACTTAATATAGTTAAACTAACTATTGCAACAATACTTAAGTTTATACTATTGTTTTTAAATTAGTATAATTATAGAATTTGCTAAATTTTGCATGTTTTTACAATAGTAATATCAATATACAAAATATAATTTTATGATTATGCTAATTTAAAAGCAACTAGCCATTGTTTTATATAAGATAGTTTCTGTATTAATTACAGAATTTGATAAGCTCTGTGTAAAGTTTGGAACTGAATTTTGTTTTTAAATTCAAATTATATTAATTAGTAATTTTCTGCTTTAGATTTAAATCTAAATTATTAAGTTGAAATCTGAATTTATTCTAACAATTATTTTATTAGTCAAATTCAAAAAAAATAACAATACTATTATTGTATGCATGTATATATATATACAATCAGTAAAAAACATTTAATTGCTTATTATACATAAAAATTCTATAAATAGTCAAGTACTTTTGTTTTATATATATTTGTATAGACAATATAAGTACTTACTCATTATTAATATTACTATTTGGATTTTTAAAATATGGTTATTTCTTTATTCAAGTTAAGTTATAAGAAATTATATTAGTTAATAACTTCCAATAATATGTATAGTATATGCATAGTTCTAAAAATATAATCTCATCTTATTGGTTTATAATTATACAATTACACATTTTAGATATCAGCATGTTTGATTGTACTCAAATAGTTAATTAATATTGAATTGATTAAATTAACAATACTGGTACATATGTACGTATTACAGATTCAGTAGATTCGATTTTATATTCAAATTTAATTTGAATCTGAAGAAAATTAGATTTAAATTCAAAAATCAAATCTGGTTTTAAACTCTAGCTCTGTGTACTGTATTTACTATTGTCTTCACAATAGTTATATTTATTATTATCTTTATAATAGTTATAAACTTTGCATATTTACTATTGTCTTTACAATAGTTATAAATACTGCATATTTACTATTATCTTCATAATAGTTGTAAGGTTTGCATATTTACTATTGTCTTTGCATTGGTATTAACAAGTTTATTGTTGCATACTTACTATAAATAATACAGTCAAAACAGCTTCCAAAGTGTGGGTTACAAGTCTGCCAAACTATATAGAAAAATTATATAAATAAAATGCAAAAGCAAAAGTTAAGTTTTTGCATTAAAGATAGAAGGTAATATATTAAAATTATAAATAAACTTAATGGTAAAATTTTTTTATATTTAATTTTATAAAAAATTACATTAAGTAAACCAATATTAATTTATAAAAAAAGTTTGTAGAGCAGGTCTTTTTGATTGTAATGATAGTAAAATTATTAAATTTGATTAAAAACTTAGTAAGATATAACTTTTTAAATATTAGGTATAAAATTTATTAATTAAATTAACTTATAGAGTTACATAAATTAACCAATCAAATTTAGTACTCTTGTACTATCTAAAAAATTTTGAGCTGTTCTAGAAAAACTTTGTGATATATATAAGTATATATTTTTTAAATATAATAATAGTTCAAAATTTTACCATAATAGATAAATTATTTTATTTATATTTTGTAAAATTTTAATAAAAATTGGTTGTAATTTAAAAAAGTTTTATAAGTAGTATATTTTAATTTTATATAAAAATTTCAAAATGCCATATAAAACTATATAAAAATAATCTACGTATCCTCTATCTTTAAACATTTATATATCATATAATATTATCATATGAATATAAATAAAGATTTTATAATGGCCTGCTATTGCAATAGCTATAAAGATATAATAAAAGTGATCTATTATTTTTAAATAGTCTACTTTATTAAACTACAATTGGATCTAAAGTTTTAATCTAATATCAAGAAGTAATAATTATCTAACTAGGTCTTATTAATGCTATTAATAAAATTAAAATCTTAAATATAAAATATCAATAATATTTATTTCTAAATACTTATTTACAATAATTGTCTAACACTCTTCTTATTTTGGTTCTGCTTACTTCACTGACACTTTAAAAACAAACAATTCACAAACAAGTTTATATTATAGACAGTTTATTTTATCAATAAGCTTATTTTATAAAGGGTAGTTTAGAATTAAGATTAAGGTTAGTATAATTTATAAAAAAAAAATATTTTTGTAAATAGTAAAAGTCTGTTTACAAAATGAGCTTGCTGGTAAAATAAACTGTTTATTAAATAAACTTGTATGTGAATAGATTGTTTGTAAAATAAGCATGTTAGTAAATTTCTTGCTGTAAGTATAAAGATAACTTATTTATTAGAAATAAAAACATAAATATAAAATGCTAATTTATAAATACTTATCTCAAAGTTTATTTAAATTAATTATCTAATCCTTTCTTATTCATATTAATTTAATTTATAAATATAAAAATGATTTATTATCATTAATCAACAGAAGGAACCATTGATGTTATACTAGTGATTTTTCATCCAGTATACAGTATCTAAAAAAAATCATTTTACAATACCAAATCATTCTGCTAGTACATGTTATGATTATAATCCCACATTATTTAATTATAATAAAAATGATATGAAATTATAATTATAACATGTACTAGCAGAATAATCTAGTATTGTAAAATGATTTTTTTATATATTACACACTAGGTAAAAAATTATTAGCATAACATCGACAGTTCCTCCTGTTTCATTAATTAGCAAAATTAAAATTATGAATATAAAATACTAATCTATAAATATATTTCTGTACTTTTTCAATTAATTACCTAATACTTTTCTTATTCATATTAATTTAATATGTAAATATAAAGATAATTATTAACATTAATCATTGAAATTAAAAACATAAATCTGTTAAAAAAACTCTTTCCGTAAATCCTTTTTACACAAAAATAACTAAAAATCCGTTAGTACTAAAATCGTCAATATCTGGTTATTTTATTAAAATAACTAACTTTGGTGTCTTAAGTAAACTTGCTCAGCTCCTAATTTTACATATACTCTAAAAGTTTCAAGCTATAACTTTCAAACTCACAGTTTAATACTGCCAAAACGGCCTTTGATCTTTATTACTAAACTTTTAATTATTTCCTATAAAGTAGTCTATTAACCTATCCTACAGTTATAAGAAAAGTTATAAAGCACTTCCTTCCGATCAAAACAAGCTCAAAAAGAAGCTTGTAGCCTTAAAATTGACAGAATTATAATAGAAAACAACTTTAACTCCTCTGTAGTTTTTTTTTTTTTTTTTTTAATTCTTTTGTCCTTACTTCCAAATTTTTTCTCTAACCCGTTTTTCGTGTAATCCTAAATCATTTCTAAAATTGTTTTCATTTAATTTTACATTGTGTAAATTAAATTTATCCAAAAAAAAAATTTATCCAAAAAAGAAATTTATTTGTTACAAATTATCTTGTACTAATTTGCTAAAAATAAATTTTGTACTCAAT